TCGTAGTTTCAAAAGAATAGGAAAGTTTAAGAAGGAAAGTCAGCTGGCCCATAAGCGTAAATCAGATGGCTCGAATTAAGCTGGGCTTTTTCTTGTTCTCAATACAGCCTTTCAATAGAGGCACTAAAGCAATGTCCAAGAAACAGATGCTTCTTTACATGTTAGCCCACATGTCTGTCATTCATTATTGGCCAAGCAGGGAGAAGATTTAAGGACCCAATCATTACACCATAGAAACCTCTTTGTGGACATTTCGACAATATAAAGACGAGCATCTGCTCGCTCAAGATTTTGTTTTGTTTTGTATTGACTAACAAACATAAAGTTTGTTTTCTTTGAGATTAAAATGCCTTTTGTTTTAACAGGAGCTGACTGGAAAGCTGCCCTCCGATTACCCTCTCCTGCCTGACGAGAAGCCTCCGCAGGTCCGGCGACGCATCGGAGCCGCTTTCAAACTGGATGAGGGTTTTATTTCACAAGATGGCGAGGTATAGGCCACAGTTTCTACACGGAGATTACTTTAATAGCTTTAATGCAGCTGACTGTTATTTGAGCCTACCTGGCTAGTTTGAAATGTTATTCATGGTGGTGAAATGGTTCCACTTATATGGAAAAAGATTTTTTACGAGGTGCATTTAATCCATATTTCAGCATTTTCAGCATGCGGTTACCCCCTAAAATGTTTGTCTCTAGGAGTCTGAGCTGCACGCGCTCGAGGCTGATCTCGCCCTGCAGAGGCAGATTTATGAGGCAGCCCGAAAGCTCTCCCTCGAGGAGCACATCAGCAAACTGGTGAGGAAAAGCCGCCTGCAGCAGTGTAAACGTGAAGAGAAGAAGCTGAAAGAGCTGCAGGATGCGATACTGAAACACCGCGTCAACCACGGCTGTGTCTCTCCACAGACCTGCTATTCTTCCAGACAGAGAGGTCAGCCAGTTGATTCTCATATAAACTACATTTTCAAAAGATATGATTTGAATGAACAAATATTTGTTGGTCCATTCCAGATCTTTGTATGTCTGATGACAGCTCGCTGTCTGATGCTGTTGCCTTAGATGATGGTAAGCATGCAACCCTTTATTTCCTCAAACTCAAACTTTCACACTCCACTGTATGTGGAAATTTGATGTCTAGGAGTCTCTAGGACAGCGGTTCTCAATTCCAGTCCTCCGCTCTGCACATTTTGTATGTTTCTCTTATTGCTTCAGACTCAGGTGTGTTAACAAAGAGAGACATGCAAAACATGCAGAGCGGGGGTACGCGAGGACTGGAATTGAGAACCGCTGCTCTAGGAGTTTGCTAATGTAGAAAAATGGTCTTTTATCTACAGACTCAGACTCTGCTCCCTTTTCTCCAGCCGTTCTGGAGTCTTCCACAGACAGCGGTTTCCAGTGTCTGACTCTCTTGCCCAATAACGGCCCAAAGCAATCGAGCTCCAGTTCCAGTCTGGACTATGATGCCTCACCCATCCAGAACTCTCCATGGAAGGAGTCCAGCTTGGACCAGCCCTACCAGAAACAAAAACCTTCTCCCTCTGCCTGCAGCAGCCGCTCAAGGTACTGTGGGATATTCTAGCTTTGAGTCCCATGGTAGATATTTAATTGCAATATAAGCATACCATTACTTTGTGTTGTTAGAGCTGTTTTAAAGGTACTTGATAGATCATTTGGTTAACATACACCTTACTGTTCAAATGTTTGGGGTTGGTAAGACTTTTAGTAACACTTTACTTAAAGCCTCTATGTATAATGCATTATAAAGGGTTATTTAAGTGTATAATACATTATAATTATTGATAATGTGCGTTGTAATACATTATATCTTGTCATAAATGATTATAACCGAATTTAAAATGCATAGTGTAACAATGAATTAAGCATGATAATGTATTAACTGTGGTTACAATTATTCATGAGATTATAAGATGCATTACAAGGCATAATTAATGCATTAAAACGACTTTTATTATGCATTATACATATATGCTTTAAGTAAAGTGTTACCTTTTTTGTATTTTTCCTTGTGCTCATCAAGGCTGCATTTATTTAACTTACAGTAAAAACAGTAATATTGTGAAATATTATAACAATTTAAAAGGTCTGTTTTCTATTTTAAATATGTAAAATGTAATTTATTCCTGTGATGGCAAAGCTGAATTTTCAGCAGCCATTACTCCAGTCTTAAGTGATCCATCAGAAATCATTCCAGTATGCCGATTTGGTGCAGAAACATTATTATCAATATTAAAAACAGTTGTGCTTCTGTGTCAGCAGCAGTCCAACAGGCTCACCAACAGACACAAGAATGGCAGAACTTCCTCCAGCACCCCAGTTTGTGTTTAAGAGTCTGCCAGTGCGAAACAATCAGCCAAACAGCGCCCCCTCCACCCCAGAGCTGCCACTGCGCCGACAGTTCTCACAGTCCTTCAGGTAAATTAATATACAGCATTGGTACTTTAGGATTGCCTGAATACTGTTTTTCAAATACATGGCTCAAATTGATATTAAGACTGTTTTTAAAACTTGTGAAAGTGAAATATGTTGGGAAATACATACTAAAAATATTAGTGAAGCAGTTGCATTTAAATATTTTCGTTACACTTCAAGGTGTTTTTTTTACAGTGTAATCATACATTTAAGTACTGACTCTGAGTAATATTAATTAACTACATGTACTTACTATATGGGTTGGGTTAGGATTAGGGTTACTTGCATATAATTATGCATAATTTATTGTTATTATAATCGTAAGTACATGTAACATGTGTACCAAGGACACCTTAAAAAATAAAATGTTACCAATATCTTTAATTGATGTGTTTCAGTTTATTAATTAGCAACATTTGTATTTGTACAGCAATGTCTTACCTTACTAATCTGTTATCATCTCCTCTCAAATAGGCTTCCCAGAAGCAAACCAGAATTGACCAAGGCCAGCTCAGACCTGGGACGGGGCCGGACCAAGTTGCCGCGACAACGAGTGACCGATTTCGCATTAGCCTACTCAGTTCAACGTTTATATCAGTGCAGCTCTGAAGACAGCAGCTCCAAGCTTTCCATTTCCTCATACAGCAGTTCCTCCAGCCGAGAGACGACCACCGAGGCACCTAAACCCTGTCCGCCTCCATACGGCTACCATCGCACTGCTCCAAATAAAGGACCAAGCCAGCTCAACACCTACAGTACACTCAAAAACAACAACAAAAACCCACCTCACCTCGTGCCCGGCCCCAATCGAGTGAAGATTAGCAATGGGACACCACTTCAGGCAGACATGGCAAGGCTGCAACTCAGACAGAATTCACAATCTGATCCTGTACATACTAATAAACCCCAACAAGTCGAGGTTACCTCACCCAAACGAATGCTCAAGCCTCCCCCGCCATACACAAAGGTGGTCCGCACGACGTCACTAAGAGAATATCCCAACCACCCCAGCCGTGTGCTTCCTCGAGATGTGGTATCAGGGGAGCTTAAAACCTGGCACCAGAAAAACAATATAGTCATATCCATACCCCGCTCACTTGAACGGCAAGGATCGATTCGAATCAAGCGCCCAGTGCCGCCACCCTACCACCAGATTCCCTCTCATAAACAGGTAAAGATGTGGACAATATGTGCATTTATCAGTACCAGTTTCGTAAATGAAATCCGTTCTTGGTAAATGATGAGCATACTTGTTTCGATCCAGGTTTCTCAGAAGGTGATTCTGCAAAGGGCTTCGGATGGAACGCCGCTGCAGTGGTACGAAGAGGAAGACTCCGAGATTGTGAGTCAGGTGTAACCAGGTAGAAGAAACCTGGAGGAGATGACACAGAGAATAAGTGAACTCTCATTGTACGTCTTTATTTTTATTTATTGAGCCAATGGACTCACCGATGTAGTCTGATTATGTTCATTCTCACCGAGACTTTTTGACCAAGTTGGAGCTGAGCCTCGATTCCATATATGCCTACATTTGTGATTAAATTTCAAGTCTAAGACTTCTTTGTAAGGCATCATGCCAGATGTTTATGATGAATGTATAATATAATTGTGTTTTTATTGATGTCAGTAGAGTGTGGCCCACCTTTTGCAAAAGAATGCCCTCATGGAAATGACATCTTTTAGTATATATTTGTGTCTTGTACACGATTCGTCATAATTAATGTATTATGTAATGTCTTAGTTTCCCCATGATTTTATTTAATTTAACACATTATGAATTAATATATTATTTTTCCATAATATTTTTTATTTGTGAATTAATATTGCCCCTTTCCTAACACAATTTTTTAAAAATTAGTGAAGTGTTGCTCTGCTACTGTAATATGCATTGTCAGAATAATCCATCTGTGAGTTTTAATAATACCAAATGTTTTATGACACAGAGAATAAGTGAACTCTCATTGTACGTCTTTATTTTTATTTATTGAGCCAATGGACTCACCGATGTAGTCTGATTATGTTCATTCTCACCGAGACTTTTTGACCAAGTTGGAGCTGAGCCTCGATTCCATATATGCCTACATTTGTGATTAAATTTCAAGTCTAAGACTTCTTTGTAAGGCATCATGCCAGATGTTTATGATGAATGTATAATATAATTGTGTTTTTATTGATGTCAGTAGAGTGTGGCCCACCTTTTGCAAAAGAATGCCCTCATGGAAATGACATCTTTTAGTATATATTTGTGTCTTGTACACGATTCGTCATAATTAATGTATTATGTAATGTCTTAGTTTCCCCATGATTTTATTTAATTTAACACATTATGAATTAATATATTATTTTTCCATAATATTTTTTATTTGTGAATTAATATTGCCCCTTTCCTAACACAATTTTTTAAAAATTAGTGAAGTGTTGCTCTGCTACTGTAATATGCATTGTCAGAATAATCCATCTGTGAGTTTTAATAATACCAAATGTTTTACTTCCTGTTTGTACACTAACTAATTATGAAATATATTTTATATTATTTATAATACACTTTAATAAACAATATTACAGATCCTCACTATTGCCTTGTGCATTTTGTCACATTTTCAGATATTTCACATTGACATTGTAGAAAACAGATGTAGAGCATACATTGACATGAGTGCCAGTGCAAGACTTTTATTCTGAGACCATTTACAACTATACATGAAACAGTTTGCCCTAAAACAAAGTTAAAACATCTACCAAATAGTAACTAAAAGCTATCAACAGTGCTTTTAACATATTCATCACATTTCCATTTCTGTACATATTTATTATAATTTTCACATCCATAAGACGGGGGTTTGCAGCAACCACACTAATATGGCTAATATAATGATTGAGCAAAGAACAGCGAGGTAAATGACAAAGACTATCCAGCGGCAACGATACATCCACTGCATAAGAGGGCGCTGTCTGCAGGTGGAGTCACAGACAAAACAAATGATCAGTATGGATTAATAATTCAATAGATAAAAGACTATGTGAAAAAGCAGCGTGCAAATGAATATTAAGTGTAACTTACAAGCTAATGACACATCTATCACAGTCTCTGAGGTAGCGCTCGGATTCCTTCAGCAAGGCATGACTGCGCTCCAGCGAAGCCTTCCTCCTCAGCTTTTGATGAGGTAACACTGGCAGTGAACTTGGGTGTCTGTTATTTTCATAATTATGAAATGGTTAATATACCACTATTTAACTGTAGCAGAGTAAATCTTAGCACTAAATCAAACTTTGTGGATTGTTTATGTCTGTAATGATACATTAAAGGTTCCTTTATTCCTGAAACTTTTTCTCCATGACTTTGAAAAACCATTTGCCCATGTTTAAGGTTACCTACTTTTTTACAAATGTGGGATCCAGCTCAAGACTCAGAGTCTGGTTGGGATGAATTTGGGGAGAGGATGTCTTCCTCGGGAGCATCCACTGTGGCAGTTTGTGAGGGACTGTCATCTTGAGGTACTAACGTTACTTGCCTAAAGAAATGTGAGACTTGGATGTGGTTATTAATCACACTTACACTGTAGTAAGTCAGCATAAAACATCATTCACAACCCATTTTACTCCAAAATGTTATGTATTCCCAAGTTAAAAAAAAGGGTATGAAACAAGAAAAAATTACAGGACATTAGAAATGTGTATAAAGTCAGTCAATAGTTTAAAATTTGATTTCACGTTGATAAAAATTCACTGTATATATTTTATAAATGATTTTACTGTGAATGGTTGTTCTGTGTATATCATTGGTTAAAAAAAAAGAGACTTGAATCAAGTCTCCAGCATATATATATATATTTTCAATAATCTGTTTTCTCATCTGTACATCACTGACTACAGTGATGATGTATTTTTGCAGGCCAACCTGAAAGTTAGCATCACACTGGTTCCCTGGACAAAAACCCAATGGGATTTTTCCACTGGCTTTTGGATTATTGTAGAAAATAAGATCAAACCAACAAAAGTTTACGATCCTTACATATTCTGTTCATCATTATAATATTCACAAATGAACACAACTTTTATTTATTTTGAAGAACATACAACTGGCAGAAGTAAAAAGCTAAATGTAGGCTATAAATTAACTACATAACTACTTAGCTGTCAACAACTCTTTCAGTCTTTATTTACTCTGAAAGTTTGCGTTAAAATAGTTTGCGAGAGTGCGATTATAAACACAATGAAGTTGTGAAAGCAGACTAGTGATTAGATGAGTTTACCAGTGCGATATGATGGCATTTAACATCCCGACAACCTCTGCAGTCCCATTTAACCAGCTGTTAGCACCTTTTCAAAATAAATAAAAGCTTTAAATCTTTAAAATATTTAAGGTCATAGAATACGTGAAAATAACTTTAACTGGTCTTAACCACAGACCTTATTTGAAGCTTTTACCCAAAACCCAGTGAAAAAATTTACTTCAAACTGACTTCAGGAGGATAGAACCGAAAGTGCTAAAATGCTAACTTGTTTCTAGGTTTTGGCCTGCAAAAATACATCATCCCTGAAGCTGTCTATACAGAAGAAAAGATCTGACACTACTTCTGTTACATTGCAAATATAAATGTACAGATGTATCCAAATTACCCTCTGCTCATTTGGCAGTCATCTGTGTGGTCTGGTTTCTTTGTGATTTCACAAATCTCATTGGTCACTGAAGATAATATAGCTTCTGACTCCTTTATTTTTTGCTTCTTCAAATGAAAAAGAAAAGAAAATTACAAGTGCACTTAAACTAAATTAAGATGAATGGTTGAGACTCATTGTGCACCAACCTGGATTTGCTTTGCAATGATGTTTGTACTGATTCTACGCCGTAACTGAGGCTGAGACAAAAGAATGAGACTGATGATACAAATCATATAATACACATCTGAACTATAAATTATTCATATATCTATCACTGTAAGTCGCTTTGGATAAAAGCGTCTGCTAAATGGAGTCAAGAGTCAATACCTTCTGTGAGTCTTTTTCAAGCTTTTCAATACCGTCAGTTCCCACTGCAGTGACACAGATACATTATTTCAAAATGCTAGTGGACTTTAACATTGTGAAAGAACTGAATGGATGTTTTCCTACCCCACTGCTCACAGACATGTCGCTCTCTGCTGCTTTTCTCCATCTGTTTCTTCATCTCCTCCAGTTCAACGCTATTCCTCTCATGACCGCGCTTCAGGTTCTCCACATGAGCAACCATCAGTTCCACTGCATGGTTCACTTTGGCCTCCTACACAGACACAGAACGGGATTGAACATATTAAAAGCCCATTGATTGAACCACCAATCAAATGGGACCTACTATAATGTTCTCTGGCTTTGCTACCGGAGTAAAATCTAGTATGGACCGATACCTGATGCACAGCCCCAAGAACCTCTGCTGTGTTGGAGATTCGTCCGATGGTGCCCCTGATAATGTTAAGACACAACTCAAGACGCTGGAGAAGCCCGGCACGTTTGATATCTAAACACATTCCCTTGAGTGTCTAGTGGCAAAAATACAATTCTATAATTGGCATAGGCTAAATCCAAAAAAGCAATGATTCACAAAAGCTATTCTCAGACTGTAGTCGTCATACCTCAAGCACTTCCATGCCTCTTTCCGCTTCCAGTTTGAGGTTGTCCTCAGCATTGTCTCGAGCGTGTTCCTCTGTCTCCAGCCTCTGACACAGCGTGTACTGGTCACAGCGAAAGGCCAGAGACAGCTGAGAGAAAGCAGCCTGTGCAGGGGGTTTGTAAGGTAATGAAAGACTAAATTAAATAATTAAAAAATAAAATTTTAAAAAATGCCATTAAAAAATTATTTAGATAAAAAAAAGAATCTAAATGGAACAGAATTAGAAAGGTATGCCACACTTTAAAGAGAGCTGATATTCTTCAAAACCATCACTTCACAATGTCCATTTATGTATGTATCTACGTGTCTCTCTATTTAAATCAAACAGGACTGACCTCCAATTCCTCCTCTGTCATGTCAACACTATGATGGCATGAAATAACCAACAAAACAGACATTAAAAAGAAGAGTTTTTTTTTTTTTACATAGTTTTTGCACTTGTCTTGGCATTCACTGTGGACAGCAAAGAAGGAATTTCATTATACAGGGAAACCTGTTTCGATCACTGTGCACATGACAATAAATGCTTTGAATATTGAATTATAGGAATGTATGTCCACAAATCAAACATCTGGATAACTAAATAAACGGCTGATATAAAGCTAGCTGTAGTAAAAGCTAGCTTGTGTTTATATCTGAATATATCACCTGTTTGGACCCAGCCTCACCATAACAGATGGCTCTTCTAAGGCAGTTTGGTCCTCGTGTCTAGACCCTTCAGAAGAGAAAAAAGTCACTTAAACTTTTTTTTATTTACCCTGTATAGCATGAATGCATGGTGGGTAAATAGTTTTGGCATTACCTTCCTCAGAGTCATTCTCGCTGTTCTCTGTCTGGGTGTTGGTCAGGACTTGCTGGTCTTCACAAGCCTAATCAGACGTTATATTGTATACTGTAGTACATAATACTATAAATATATAGTACTGATTGGATTAGATTACTATTTTACCTAAAAAATAAAGCTAATGAAAATGTTGAAAATATTTATATTTCGTTCATCTCGATAATAATTCCAAGTTGCAAAATAATTAAGAACTGAGACATTAGTCTAAAAAAATATCCAGACTGTAAAAGCTTAACTGAGGTGTATCCTTATTTCCCCAACATTAAATGTTTAACATTTAACGTTTTAAAAATTAAAACACGCTTTCTACAGTTAGGAATTCTGCCAACATATTCTTGTCGTCTATGAACAAAAGCCCTCCAACACTTACATTCAATCCAATCTCATTAACCGTCGTTCCAATATTCAGATTTACCGCTTCTGCTCAGTGTAACGTCCACAAAGTATAATCAAAGAAAGATCAAACTTGCGCTTGCTTACCATGACATTTGCTGATTTCTTGCTCTCCACCTCTCTTCCTGCTCCTAACAGACTCCTAATCTCATTAAAAAATAGTGAAGAAAACTGGCAGATTAATGACGCTGTTTTAGACGGGTCATGGCTGCCACAGACACTGACTGACAATACCAGAATTTAGAAAAAAAACAAAGCTACGAAACAACTGCAAAATGCATTTAGCTTGGTGTGCATACTACAAAACACCATGAAGGTGAGCCATCTTGCAAAATTTGTCTTTAATGTTGTAGCCGATTTAAAATAAAATTCTTAATTTATGCATGTGAAGCAGTTTCACATCAAGCTTTTTCTAAGAACTACATGCCATTATACAGCTTCCTTGTGGTGTATAAATGTGATGCAAACATTTGAAAAACTTCAAATAAATTTGTGAAATTTTTACACCGATCAAACGAGCATATTTAGCATTTATTTGAAAGGACATTAGGAAAGACACAAAAACATGAGATTTGGATCAACTCCACATTTATTGTAGAAAATTGAGGAACATAGTCTCTAATAGAGGCGCTGTGGTTTTCCCATGGTGCTCTTGATGTAGAGCGCTCTCACGTTCTGCCAGTTCTTCTTCAGCAGAGACACCAGGAAGTTCACAGCCAGGTGGATGTTGTAGACCAGCTCTTCCTCAGTCATCCTGACGTGACCAACAGCCACAGCCAGACACAGAACCTGAACATGACAGGGATGACCATTATTTACTTCATACAAATTCAGGAGTTAAAAAAATATAGGGTTGATAAGATTTTTTTTGTGTTTGAAAGAAGTCTCTTATGCTCAATGCTGCATTTACTTGAACAAAAACACAGTAGAGACAGTAACATTGGGATATTGTATTAAAATACTACAACTAAAAGTAAAACAAAAAGCATTTTCTACTTTTTAAAAAATGTAATTTATTCCTGTGATGATAAAGCTGAATTTGCGGCAGCCATTACTAATTTACAAGCCAGACACAGAACCTGAACATGACAGGGATGACCATTATTTACTTAATACAAATTCAGAAGTTAAAAAAATATAGGGTTGATAAGATTTTTTTTGTGTTTGAAAGAAGTCTCTTATGCTCAACGCTGCATTTACTTGAACAAAAACACAGTAGAGACAGTAACATTGGGATATTGTATTAAAATACTACAACTAAAAGTAAAACAAAAAGCATTTTCTACTTTTTAAAAAATGTAATTTATTCCTGTGATGATAAAGCTGAATTTGCGGCAGCCATTACTAATTTACATATGTTTGTGGAAACGCTCATACATTGTCAGAATTCATTAGCAATAAAAAAAAAAAAATCTGAATTTCTTTAGAATAGAAATCTTTTATAACAGTATAAATGTCTATACTGTCACTTTTGATCAATTTAATGTCCAAAGCACTCTCTTTATTAAAAACATACCTTCTTCATCTGGAATTTGATGGTGGATTTCACTTCATCCACCTTGGTGGCCAGGTTCTCGTTATGGGTGAGCAGAGAGGGGAACTTTCCTGCCTTGTTGAGGCCAGGTCCCAGGATACGAGGAATCTGCTTGATCAGAGACTCAGAAGCCAGGAAAGCATCGTACTTCTTTGCTAAAAAGAGAACCAACAAGATGCATCAATACATAGACTCAATCCAGAACAAACTATAGCACTGAACACATACATGTCTTATCACTAATGTTCTCTCAAAAGGAAACTCACCCAGCTTCTTGACCAGTTTCTTGTTCTTGTTGAGCTTTTTAAGAGCCTCGATGTCCATGTGTGGAAGTTCAGCGGACTTGGCTTCATCACAATGCTGCTGGTCACCAAGGATGCACACGGAGAACTTGGGACGTGGGGTGGTCTTCAGCCTGTGAAGGGCGAAGGAAAAGACTGACTGACAAACATATCAGACCACTTTTGACCCACTTGAGGCAGAACAGAAGAGTCTTACCCATACCACCTCAGCTGGAATCAGGTGTTGATAGCACAGGCATATAATAAAATGGTCGGCTTAGGTATGACAGCATGAACGCCGTCACCTATAGCCTCCCCTCATGTTTTAAGACCCAGGGTAGGGGTCCGCCTGCGTCACCAAGCCAGAGAATGGATGGTTCAGACAGACTACCCGAGGCTGTTCTACACTGCCTGCCTTTAACCTGCCTGCTCAAGCAATTTAATCCAAAGAATAACTACCTCATGTCAAGATATCCAGATATTTATTCAGGCAGAGCAAAGGGCAGGCAGACAGAAGACTGGGCGATACAGTAAAGGGCCGAACCTGACAGTGCCTGAGAAACGCTTGTCCTTCTGGGGATCGTAGTTCTTCAAGCTGATCTGCAGCTCCACAGACTCAAGAAACCTTAAATATAAGAGTCAAAATAAATACCTTGTATACAAGTAGCCGTTACATGAGGGTAAACACTTGCAGTTAACAAAAATACATCTGATATTTAAGCATAGGCTTAATATTTATCAAGCAGTAAAACATTTATTAATTTAATAAATAGCTATTCAATTACTAGCAAGTAACACAATAACTAGTTTGTGCTGACCAGAAATTACCAGTAAGTACTGGTAATTTAAAAACGATAAATAAATATGTCAGCCAATGAACACAATGACCAGACTCTTACTTTCTCTTCTTAAGACGGGAACCAGCCTGGACCTCCCGAACAGCCTCGTACAAAGTGTCTCTTGAGACCTTGCTGTTAAAAAAATAAATTTACAAAATAAAATTATTAAGTCCATGACTAGTTTGTTCCATCCGTCGTTTAGACTGACCGGTGAATGTACCACTAACATGCCTCCAAACTCCGTTTCACAAGCCTCAATATATCTATATTACTTAAGTTAAATATGAATAATAACCGTCAGAACAATTATAATTTCAGATGAAGTTAAATATTAGTCTGATTAAACCGGATTGCATTCCAGATGATCCGGTGCGCTGCGCGGTAGCACTGAAGAGCTGCTCGAGTTTGTCAAAGAAAACAAATCTCAAGCTCTCCGACTGACATTGCTTGATGATATATTTGCCTATATAGCTATTCAATGGTGAAATAAAACGTTATAAAGGATTAAATACTTTATATATAAAAATTTCTCACGTGCCTCATCTTGCCGTGGTGCCTTTCCTTTCACACGGAGCTCGAAAAAGGAAGTATGAAGGGAAGTTGCGTCGAATATATGCGTCTGAGTGTGAAAAACGGACTTCCGGAGCCGCCATGATTGTTGTGGCCACAGAAACATGTAACCAGCAGAGAACTTTACATTCCACAAACTTTTTCTTTTAATGTGTCAAAAAAGTGTGTGCGCCATGCACAATTACATAAAATTGTATATATTTCTAATAAATCACAATAATTCATCTTAAAGCATTCAAATGTGTCCAGGACATAACATTTAAATAATACGAATCCAGATAGTTTAATTGAAACTATTACGTTTAATAAATAATATAAATAAATATTGATACAGGGGTTAAAGCAAAAAAATAAAAATCCTGAGCCTGAACTTTTTTTCCGGGGGGCGGGGCATGCAATGACTGTGGCAACTTTAACATTTGAAAGGATACTATGGCAAATTTATTGTTTTCCTTATTCAAACTGATTTTTTTTTCATGAATATTGGTTGACCTTAAGAATGAAAACTGTGTCATACACTTGGAAAATTATGAGCTATATCACCGCTTATCAACACTAGGGTGTGACAATACACTTAGCTCACGAGATGAGACAAAATACAGATACTTGGTTCACTAGAA